CACGGGCAGGTACATGTTTTTGTTTTGTTCACTTTGATAATGCTTCGCATTTAAGATGCATGCAACTAATGTTTATTGCAGTGAGGGAAAGCACTTTAAAGAAACACGAGTCTGCCGAATCGGGTTTGGCTCGCCAGATAGATCGTCGGCCTGCGTAATGAAAGGTCCCGGTTTCGTTTCCGGTCAAGGGCATGTACCTGGGTTGGGGGCACATCCCCAGGGGGGGGTGTGCAGGAGCAAGCTGATCGATGTATGGCTCTCATCGATGTTTCTGACTCTCTATCTATCTCCCTTCCACTTCACGAAAACTCAATAAAATATATTAAAAAAAAAAAAAATAAAATAAGCATCGGACAGTATGTCGGGTAGTCAGTTATATCAACTAGGCTATTAGCAAGGCAGTTTGGGGTGGGGGAAACAGCAGGGGAGCGGTGGGGGGCGACAAGCCCAGCAGGGAGGGGCAGTTGGGGGCAACCAGGCTGGCAGGGGGGGCAGTTAGAGGCATCCAGGCTGGCAGAGGGGGGCAGTTGGGGGTGACCAGGCCAGCAGTGGGGGCAGTTGGGGCGGCCAGGCCAGCTGGGGGACCAGTTAGGGGCAACCAGATAGGAAGGGCGAGGCAGTTGGGGGTGACCAGGTTTGCAGGGGGCCAGTTAGGGGCAATCAGGTTGGCAGGCAGAGGCAGTTAGGGGTGATCAGGTTGGCAGGCAGGTGAGCAGTTAGGAGCCAGTGGTCCTAGATTGTGAGAGGGATGTCCAACTGCCGGTTTAGGCCCGATCCTGAGGACATCCCCCCAAGGTCCCGGATTAGAGAAGGTGCAGGCTGGGCTGAGCCCCCCCCCCCCCCCCGCTGTGCATGAATTTCGTGCACTGGACCTCTAGTATATTTATATTTGAAAATATCTTCTTTTAAATCCTAAAGTATATTCAACTAGAAATATACTTAGCATAGTATAATGATCCTATTTCTAGCATCAACTGGTATATACTATAAACATTTAGAAGTAGCATTTTATTTGTGTAATGTCAGTCTTCCCCATTAGTCTTGCCTTGAAGACAAAAAATACATCTCTTTTCTACTGTATACCCAAATCCTTGTCAAGTGTCTGGCTCTTGATACTGGCACATAAGACATACTCAGTAAATATTTATGGATTGGGAACAAACAGGCAGATGGATGCATTATTATTAAACTGTTTGCAAACAGGCAGATGGATGCATTATTATTAAACTACTAGAGGCCACGGTGCACAACAATTTTGTGCACTCGGGGGGTGTCCCTCAGCCCAACCTGTGCCCTCTCGCAGTCTGGGACCCTCGGGGGATGTCCACCTGCTGGCTTAGGCCCATTTCCCCGGGGGATCGGGCCTAAACTGGCAGTCAGACATCCCTCTGGCAGCCCGGCAGCCCTCGGGGGATGTCCACTTGCCAGCGGGGACCAGGCCTAAGCTGCAGTCGGACATCCTTAGCGGTGCTGAGGAGGTGGGAGAGGCTCCTGCCATCACTGCTGTGCTGGCAGCCATCAGCCTGGCTTGCGGCTGAGCAGAGCTCACCCTGTGGGAGTGCACTGACCACCATTGGGCAGCTCCTGCATTGAGTGTCTGCCCCCTGGTGGTCAGTGTGTGTCATAGTGACCCATCATTCCCAGTCGTTTTGCTGTTAGAGTCAATTTGCATATTACCCTTTTATTATATAGGATAGAGGCCTGCTGCATGGGTGGGGGCCGGCTGGTTTGCCCTGAAGGGTGTCCCAGATCAGGGTGGGGGTCCCTGCTGGAGTGCCTGGCCAGCCTGGGTGAGGGGCTGAGGGCCGTTTTCAGGTTGGCCACACCCCCTTCAGGGAGGGGGGTCTTGCTGGGGTGTCTGGCCAACCTGGGTGAGTGGCTGATGGCTGTTTGCAGGCTGGCCACACCCCCTTCATGGAGGGGGGTCCTGCTGGGGTGTCTGGCTAGCCTGGGTGAGGGGCTGAGGGCTGTTTGCAGGCTGGTCAAGCCCCCCAGCAGGGACCCTCTCCCCTTGAGGGTGTGGCCAGCCTGGGTGAGGGGCTGATGGCTGTTTGTAGGCTGACCACAGCCCCTTCAGGGTTGGGGTCCCCCCTGGGGTGCCTGGCCAGCCTGGGTGAGGGGCTGATGGCTGTTTGCAGGCTGGCCACAGCCCCTTCAGGGTTAGGGAGTCCCGCTGGGGTGCCTGGCCAGCCTGGGTGAGGGGCTGAGGGCCCTTTTCAGGCTGGCCACGCCCCCCGGCGACCCAAGCTACCAGCCTCTCCTTTTTTTCTTTTTTCTTTTTTTTTGGGGATTTATTTATCTTCTATCATTGAAACTTTGTAGCCTTGAGCGGAGCCAGGGGCCAGCCAGTGCAGGAGGGAAGCTTGGCTTCCTCCATCGCCAGGGGCAACCCAAGCCTCCTGCTTGCTCCAGCTCCGTGGCCACTGCCATCTTAGTTGGGTTAATTTGCATACTCGCTCCTGATTGGCTGGTTGGCATGGCTTGTGGGCGTGGCTTGAGCATGGCGGATGGACGGTTAATTTACATGTTTCTCTTTTATTATGTAGGACTAGTCCTCACTATTCTATTTCTGTCCCTAACAATATAATGAAATTTGAATTGAACAACTGTACAGTTAAAGTGCCTCCATGGAAACCTTTTCAGGAAATACAAGAGCAAAGTAGGGCAAATAGAGAAGTCCTTTATTGGGAGGAGAATGTTGATGGGAAAAAAAATACATCAAAATTAACTTTATTTTTTTCTATTATTATGTGATGTTTTATTTTTAATTTTCATTTCTTTCACTTTGCCTATTTTCTAATTTTGTCTACCGCCAACTCTAATAAGTAGTATGTATTTTTTAAATGTTATTTTTAAAGTGATAAGTTGGTCACTTCTTTTAATCATTCTCTTAGGCCACAAAGAAATATAAAATGATAATATATAAATTGATATGATAGTGACTGAAAATGAATTATGTGCATTATTTACTGTGAGGAAATGAAAGAACAAGTGGGAATTTTAGAACCTCTTGGTACTTATGATCTTATTTGTCATCATGGATTAAGGACAAGTTTAGGAATAAATTAACAGCTACTCTCATATGTTAGTTTGTCATTTTGTTAGAAACCTTTCTTTTCTTTAAAAGAAAAGTTTACAAATTCTTGATAATCATCCCCCCAAATTAATAATTTTATTAATTTCAGTGAAGAAATTAAAGTTCAACCAAGTCAGTTCAGAGAATCAGTAGAACCAAATGGAAGGATTTATGAGGAACAGAGAAAGTTAGAAGAAAGTTTTACCATTCACTTAGGTAAGTATATTAATTTTTTACAGTCATAATTTATTGTAAGTTGTGAAGCTTTTTGTATGCTATAAGAAAAATTCCTAGCATATGAGTAAAACATACCTATGTTAGTTTTAATTACAAAGTATATCCTGCTCCAAAAAAACCTACAGATTTTTGGCTATAAGTTTTAGCTTATATATTACTTTTTGCAAATAGAAAGATTCAATATTACCAGTTATTAAAATGGGAAAATGCAAGGCCTATTTTCAGTAATTTGTAGCACAGATTTATTGGGATGCTTGTCATAGAAATTTGCATCCTGTTGTACTAGATTTTTCAGCTAAGTATCTTTCTGGGGTTGTTGCCTGTATCCCCTAGGAGCTCAGTTGAAGACCATGCATAATTTGAGATTGCTAAGAGCAGACATGCTGGATTTCTGTAAGCACAAAAGAAATCATCGAAGTGGTGTGAAACTCCATCGACTCCAGACAGCGCTGTCACTTTATTCCACATCTCTCTGTGGCCTGGTTTTACTAGTAGATAATAGAATTAATTCATATAGTGGTATTAAAAGAGGTAAGTTACCATTATACATATTTATTTCATTAAATTTCTTTTTAAAATACTATTCTTACAAAGAAAGTAATTAAATTATGGAAAAGTTGAAAAAAATTTGTAGTCATCCCAGTGTTCAAGTAGACCAAATAACCTATCCAGCCACAGCTATTTTAGATTTGTTTCATGCTTAACAT